TTTATTTTATGTAAATTTTAATAATTTCATCTATACAAAAGAGTACATAATGAAAAAAAGGTGTAGCTAGCATCTGCTGGATGCTAGATCTAGAANTATAACATGAAATATGTAATTGAAAAAAGAAATACTTGGTAGCATGGCAATCAGGAGGCAAAAGCTGGGTGCAGCAAGCAAGTGCTAATTAATTAAGAGCTTGACTTGAGTTTGTTTTAGGAAAACGAAGATTAATTAAATATAGTGTGTTGTGAAAAAGCAGGTAGACAGTGCAAACAGGAAGGGGATATTACTGGAGATGGTCCAAGTGCTGACAGGTCTTGATCTCATCATTTCCAAATCATACATTTCCTCCGATGGTGGATGGTTTATGGACGGTCAGTGTCTCTCTCACGAGTCCCTTTTATTCCTCAGCTTTCTGCATTTTCCGCAATCAACCCAAATATGTATAATTATTAAATAAATACCTTGTCACTTTCTACAACATGCATGAGCTATGCATGCGTCATATATTACCAAGCCCCATAACTTGGTAGGACAGTCTCATTATCTGCAAACGTACGTCAGTAGTCCGGTTCTGATCCATGCCGCGTGGGTCTTTTTTTTTTATTGCAAAGTTCAGTGTTCCACGTGACTGATGAAGCTGGCAAGAAGCTCACAGACGAAACGCTCATGCTCCACATCCAGCAGGTCATTCTGTCTATTTCTAAAAATATTATTCGCACAGAAAAATAATGCTGTCACACTCAAATTGTTAGAAAAACATAAAAATTCATAAATGAATTCTATGAATGTTATTATTAAATTACAACTTAACTTATTGAAGCGTTAAATTACATTTTAACAATATCATTGAAACTTCTCTACATAACTCGTGGTTGTTGAAGTTGAGAAACAAAATTGAAACAAAAAGATTAAGAGGAAGATTGGAAAGAAATGAGTGATTTGAAGCATTTGAAATAAAGATAATAATGGTACAGGAACTGTGCGTGACAAGAAACAAAGGAGAGATTTCAAGGGATAGAGAAGGAGGTAGTGAGAAAGGAGCAGAGGAAGAGGTGGTGGGAAAGGAGATAACAGCGATGGAGATGAGTGGGGTGGATCGAGCTGGCCTACTATCAGAGCTAGCAGGAGTGTTGGTTGAGCAGGAATGTGTCGTTACCGCTGCAACTGCATGGACCCACAACGACAGAGTGGCCTGTATAATATTGGTGGAGGATGCGTTAAAAGCAGGGCCCATAAGCGACCCAAAACGGCTGGGCCTAATGGAGGAGCAGCTGGAAAATGTGGTGGCGGCCCATAGGGGAGAGAGGAAGAGGGTGAGGGTGACGAGGTTGGGGGCGGGGCACACCCACAGGGAGCGGAGGCTCCACCAGCTGATGTACGCGGACAGGGATTACGAGAGTTGCCGCGCGTGTGACGGGGACAGTAGCGGGGCACACAAGAAGGGCTGTGATGGGACCCACGTGTCTGTCGGGAAATGCGAGGACAAAGGGTACTTGGTGGTTAACGTGAGAAGCAGGGATCGTCCTAAGCTCTTGTTCGACACCGTGTGCGTGTTAACGGACATGCAGTATGTGGTGTTCCACGCCGCCATCAGTTCCAAGAGATCCATGGCTCATCAGGTACATAATAATTTCTCACAACTTAGTTTAGTCATTGGTGGGCCTGTTGTTCTAATACGTGCTATTGTCATGCATAGGAGTACTACATAAGGCAGATGGGTAGTTCAGGTATTCCCAGCGAAAGCGAGAAGCAAAAACTAACCTTATGCTTAATCGCTGCAGTGGAGCGCAGAGTGTCGCATGTATGTATGTATGTTGTACTTACATTTTAAAAATTAAGTGAAATGTTGGATTTTGAATGTATATATGTCTGGTGCAGGGATTGAGAATGGATATTGTAACTGAAAATAGAGCGGGGCTACTGTCGAATGTGACGCGGGTGTTTCGTGAAAATGGGTTATCCATATCGAGATTTGAGATCGGAACGGAGGGAGGAAAAGCGGTAGGATCATTCTTTGTGACAGATTGTTCAGGTGAAGAAGTGAACCCAAATATCGTTGAATTGGTGAGACAAGAGACCGGTGGATCCGTCGTTATTGATCACAAGTCGCCCCATAGACTTCATCAATCATCGTCCTCCTCCTCCTCAGTTATACACCAAACCACCGACACAGAGGAAGGCAAGCCAAAATTCTCACTCGGAAGCTTGCTATGGTCTCGATTAGAACGCCTCTCCAGCGGTTTTGGACCCATTAGATCCTGACAACCTTATTCCCCCTCAATTATTTTCTTTACTTCAATCAATGTCGCTCCTAAATAGTTCTGTACATAGACTCTTTTTTTTTTTTTTTTAATTTGCCTTTTTCCTTTTACTTTGAAGAGTGAGCAGCTGGCCACATTATAAGCATGCGTTTTTATTTTATGGTCATTGTACACATTCTTCTCACATCAATATCAAGGTCGTTACACGATCAGAAATGACTTTTTACAAATTCATCTGTGTACGTTACCAGGTAGGATGAGCATTTAGCCATGTAGAAATAGTTTTATCGATATTCTCGTTCCATTTCCAGTGTTTGATTTTGGTTTCATCTGGTGATATTATTAAGAGATAATGATACGTTGATGTTGAAAACTATTTTATAATTATATTTTTTAATTAAAAAGGGCACTATGATACTTTCTTTCTATGCAAAACTAATTCTCGTGTATTTTCGTTTATTAAAAAAATAACTTTCACTCTCAAGATATAATTTTCCAAATGAAAAGCTTCCAACTTATAATTAGTATGTATCTTAACGTTTAGGCCTACCCGCCTCTAAGGTGCTAATAAAATCCCACTGTGATTTCTAGTTCCTAATAATTTTCTGTTGTTAACCTAGATTTGACAGAGTTTATTTTGTAGACAATGATTCTTCGTGTCTATTACCAAAGCTACCAGACTAATTTTTAAGCACTAATGAAGTTACGTGGGTATTGGGTAATGAAGAAAATAAAACACAAGGTTTTTCTTTTTTGTTAAAATGTACTGGCTCTGGCTATCATCCTCCTACTCATATTGACGCTTGCTACGAAAATAAAATCTAATTCAAATTTCTACTTGCATGTGTGGATAGAGAAATGTTCCAAGAAACGTTCAAAGTAGAAAAAGAAACGAGACACATGATATTTTTGACATATTTACAACAGCTAAATTACTTTTTACCGAGAGGAATGTCATGTGTTACTTACAAAAACTCGTGTAAAAATCAATAAATTAAAACTAATTGCTAGTAAATTTGGTAAATTCGACCCAATAATGAACACAACTGAAAAGAGTATGCTGGAAATTTATTACTATAATTTATCATACTAATCATTGTCAAGCTGCACACTGACTTGCATAACAGTCGGCCATAAAACTGCGACAACACTAGTTAAAGTTATTGCAACACTACAACACAACTAACAATGGACAAAGTCTACATTAAGTATCATAGGTATCGTCAATAATATTCTAATGAATATTGATACCACATTCAACAAGTGTCACTTTCATATAGATAACCAAAATTGGTAACAATTAGGAATCATAGTTGTAAAACATGTATTCATTTGTTTATTACAAAATAAATGTCACTTTATTTTATTTTATTTCTTGTTTTCAAATTTTCATATAGAAAACAGTGAAAATAGAAATAAAAATAGAAAATAATACAATTATTTTCATTATTTCTGTGTGTTGTATATATTTATTAAAATAAAGAGTAAAATAAAAGAATGCTTCATAATTTGTAATAAAAAAGTAATAAACAAGTAATAAAAGTGGAAAATATTTTCTAAAATCAAATAGCTCCTTAACTTAAAAAGTAAGGTTGACTTTGATTAAAAACAATCCAATAAAACATTAATTTGTGCATCGAGCTATTCTTTCTCAGTTCTTAAAATATTTAAGCATAATAAGTACCTTAAGTAAGGTTTTATGATCTTTAACAACAAAAAATTGGACTATTATTTTTGGTCATTAAAACCAATTTTCTTTCAAATTCTTCACTTACTTGTATCTCGTGTCAAACCATTAATAATGAAAAAATCAAGAAACAAAACATGTATATACTTAAGCAAAATAAATTCCTAAACAAAGCATCTCAGACAAAATGCTACAAGTTTAAGACACTCATTGAGTACTATGTGTTGCATATAATCCTGAGGAATCATACTTATCTTGTTTTAGAGAAAAGATCAAATAGATACAACACTAGAGAAGGGAAATGAAAGAAGTCCTAAGTCAGCCTGTCACTTAAACTCGAGAACAGTTTAAGAACCAGAGAAACTAACACGATAGGTGGTACAAAACTTTAAAAATTTCAAATAAATGAGATAATGATACTACACGGACCAAATTAATTATTTACTAAAAAACAATCATATTCAGCATCTACAGTTGTCCAACAACAATTAATCTTACAATCTTAGTTTTGTTTCCATGTCTTCTATTAATATTGAAGAGGTAATATTATTTATCACTACAATATGCAAACCTTTTAGGCTGTAACTTGTCAACATAGTTAACCCAGTAATTTAAACCACCGATAAAATAAAGCAGAACCAATAAATATTTTCTAATTAAAATTCAAAAAGGAAATAACACCGAGAAAGGTGTAAAGATTATGGAAGTTACAAAAGAAAGACGGATGCTTCGAAAGTCAAGAGAAACACCAAAGCCCAATACAAGTAGTGAGCAGAAACTACTTATGATATCTGACGTTTAGGCACAACAGCTATATGTTTCATGTCTGTAGTAATGGTAGTGAAAGGGTCTTAAATTTAGTAGTTTGTCCTGAAAAGAAACATCTAGGATTCTAGGTAGCTCAGAACCAAATAGCCCTAGTAAGACTATGGCATTGGACGCTAAAAAACTTTGCTATAGATAACGCCTGCAGTATATGTTCATAAAGTGTCGTTGTTCGCATCTTTTAAATAAATATTTATCATAACCATTTACTAGAAATTCAGATATCAAATAGAAGATTTAGTTTATGTACGGTGCAATAAATAACCATACACAACACAATGCCCAGTGGAGACTGGTTTTATTTACAGACAGTCTTTCAGAATGTCAATCGTAGAGTACACATACTATATGCAGATATTCACAAAAATATAAGGGAATCACATAAAAAAACTTACCTCTGGGACATATTCCAAGGCATTGTCATATTACATCAATGTCATCAACGTTAAGCCAATCATTGGACTCCTTGGTCACAGAATTACGAGAACTTGAATGCTCAGAACCAGCATGTTTGCTTTCAACAGAGAACCTATCCTTATCAGAGCTAGGAGAACTTCTACCTAACTGAACCCAATCTCGGGAGTCTTTTGTTGAAGAGTCAGAACCTGATCTAGTTTTCTTATTACTTTCATGTACATCAACATCGTCCTCCTCAAGATCACTGAATGACACATCCTCATCATTACCAGTTTGAATATAAGTTCCACTGGGACCAACCATTTCAGAACTATCCTCTTCTTTCAGCCAATCATCGGCATCGTCCTCATAGGTTTCATCCAAAAATCTATTGGTTGAACCAGATGCTGATTGCTCTGCAGATGGTTTTACCGGTTCCTCTTTAGCCAAGGACTTGACAATAATTTCTGGAACATCACTTTGAGTGGCATTTTTCTCCATTTCAATATCAGACGTAACCGTAGATGGGACTGCTTCAACAACAGATGCCTGAAGAGGTAGAGATTCAAGTGGAGAACTGTTTGGCACAAAGAGATGTTGCTCCTCCTCTTTTGGAGGAATATTGCCTCCGGCGGATAGCTCCGATTCTTTCTTTTCCTTACCTCTTTTATCTAAGGCCTGAGTTAACATTGCTCTAGCTTCCACTATCTGCACACATACCACGATTGGTAGTAACAAAGGCAAGGACGATTCAAGTAATACCAAAATTACCACATAGCTAACATCAAATGTGACAAGCATGACAATGTTTATTTTGGAGCATGATGGACACATTTTTTCAGTCATAAAAAGGGATCACAGATAACTTATAACTTCATGAATCATGAAGGACTTTCCTAACAAGATTTAAGATTCCGATGCCATGTTTATCCTGAACAATGAAATACCTTAGTTTTCTCTGCTTCAATTATTAGTAGCACTCAATAAAAGTTAAAGCAATTAAGACAAGCAAACAAAGAAACCAAAACAACACAATCATTTTACTTAAGAGGCATCAGCTCACATTTGCCCGACAAAAACTATACAAATGCAACGAATATAGAAAACGAACGCCAATAAAATTTAACTTACTTGGGGGGTGGATAAAATATCAGCATCACTTTTGCTGAGTCTAGGATGCAGGAGTACAAAATAAATCTTCCAAAAGTTACCATCACTCATGTATCCGGGGCACAGTTCCATTCTAAGAGCAGCTAAGCTTGGTGCCAGATGTTCAACAGCTAAAGCGTGCTCATGTTGCGCATCGGACAAATCAAAATCTAAGCAACAAAATTCCAGAGATAGTGAAACATCAGCCACGATCAAATATCATCTAAAATACACACATGAACATCTTAAGAAGCCCATTAGGGCAAACTGCGAGAATAGCCATAACTATTATATATCTGTCTAGAAGTAAAAATAAATCATCTCGAAATTTCGATTGGAACGGTAAACAGAATTTGCATAACCAAGAGTGAAAAAGTCGATATACCATCAGAATCAGCATCGTCAGGAAGAGGAAAATCGAGCCAAGTTTCTGGATGCAGCGCTACGCTTCTGGCAAAGGCAACCACGTCCTCGGTAACTCCAACAACGCCTTCCAGATCGTATTCCTCTTGGGATCCAAGCTGAAGGAAATTCGAAGCAATCTTGGTGAATTCAGATACCGTCTTATTGCCAGAAATCTTGGAGATCCCGCTCTTGAACTTGCCACCAATCTCGGCGAAATCGTTACGGATTCCGGCGATAATANTTTTGGAGCATGATGGACACATTTTTTCAGTCATAAAAAGGGATCACAGATAACTTATAACTTCATGAATCATGAAGGACTTTCCTAACAAGATTTAAGATTCCGATGCCATGTTTATCCTGAACAATGAAATACCTTAGTTTTCTCTGCTTCAATTATTAGTAGCACTCAATAAAAGTTAAAGCAATTAAGACAAGCAAACAAAGAAACCAAAACAACACAATCATTTTACTTAAGAGGCATCAGCTCACATTTGCCCGACAAAAACTATACAGATGCAACGAATATAGAAAACGAACGCCAATAAAATTTAACTTACTTGGGGGGTGGATAAAATATCAGCATCACTTTTGCTGAGTCTAGGATGCAGGAGTACAAAATAAATCTTCCAAAAGTTACCATCACTCATGTATCCGGGGCACAGTTCCATTCTAAGAGCAGCTAAGCTTGGTGCCAGATGTTCAACAGCTAAAGCGTGCTCATGTTGCGCATCGGACAAATCAAAATCTAAGCAACAAAATTCCAGAGATAGTGAAACATCAGCCACGATCAAATATCATCTAAAATACACACATGAACATCTTAAGAAGCCCATTAGGGCAAACTGCGAGAATAGCCATAACTATTATATATCTGTCTAGAAGTAAAAATAAATCATCTCGAAATTTCGATTGGAACGGTAAACAGAATTTGCATAACCAAGAGTGAAAAAGTCGATATACCATCAGAATCAGCATCGTCAGGAAGAGGAAAATCGAGCCAAGTTTCTGGATGCAGCGCTACGCTTCTGGCAAAGGCAACCACGTCCTCGGTAACTCCAACAACGCCTTCCAGATCGTATTCCTCTTGGGATCCAAGCTGAAGGAAATTCGAAGCAATCTTGGTGAATTCAGATACCGTCTTATTGCCAGAAATCTTGGAGATCCCGCTCTTGAACTTGCCACCAATCTCGGCGAAATCGTTACGGATTCCGGCGATAATATCTTCCTCGGAGGAGGTGGGATCGGCGTCGGGAGTACGGGGTTGAGGATCAGGCGGCGGGGCGAGGAAGGAGGCGACGCCCCATATCTGGCGGGAAAAGGATTTGGTGAGCTCGTTGAAATCCTCTTTGACCCCGCGCGCGGTGGGACTGGGAGTGGATGCGGAATCGGGTTGAACGGGTTCTGATTCGGGTTTCTGCGGAGGGGATTTTAGGTTACCGCCATTGTCATCGTCGATATCGTCGTCGTCGAGTCTGAGTGAGTTTGCGATTGTCTTTGCAAACCACGACATGGTTTGGTTTGATTGATTGATTGATTACAGCTTCTTACCAGATTTCGATCGCCACTTCCTCCCAACTCAAGACTCCCCTCCTTCACCAGATAAGACCATACTCTGCGACACCGTTTCAGATTGCACAAACCAAAAAATTTTATTATTTGAGTTTAATTATAATTTCCCATTAACTTTTTCTAATTCATTCTTATTTCTAACTCTGCAACCTTCCTTCATTTAAAATGAGAGTAGAGATTAATTTGTAATTTTCAAAAACATGTCATTTTTCTTTGTTAATTATGTTTACGTTTAAATTTCTTCACATTGTAATTAATTAAATATTTTTAATCAAACCTTAAATGAATATATTATGTTTCAATTTATTCAAATAAAACTTGTGAAGTTGAGACTTAGTTCAAAGTGCTCAATTTACGAGACATTTATATCTTCGAAAACTTTATCATTTGAACTACTAGTGTCAATTTTAACCACAATCTATGAATATCAAGAAACAAAATAAGATGCTTAAACATGTGTAAGAATCTAAAAAAATAATAAAGCATAAGAGATAGTAACTATTTTAAAATAATAAAATCGAATATTTTATTTTATTTTAAAATAATTAAATAAGATTAATATAATTTTCTAAATTCATATTCTTTAAAATATCGTTTATTTCTCTAAAATTATATTTTTTTTGTTTCTTCTCGTTTTTCGTATTTATATGAAGATTCTAATTCTTGAGTTATGTGTTTGACGATCAAGAAATATCTAAACAATTATAACGATGAGTTATATAATTCTAGCCGATCAATTTTTATTATAAAACAAGTAAGATTTTACTTTCTTTTTTTTCTTTTCTCACTCCTAATATGTTTTAAGAAGAGTTTAGAATTGTTACATGTGCTATAAT